CTGATTCCAAATCTTTGCACATTTTGTTGTAATAATTGGCTTTATCTTCTCGAGCTGATCTTTGAAATTTTCTGCTCAGCTCTTGGACTTCCGCATTTCTTCCATTTGCTTTAGCATATCTATGCTGGAGAGCAAGTTTCGGTGTTTCTTCTGACACCCATTTTGACCTTTTCCTTCTTTCTTGTCCTCTCAATGACTTTTTGGTTTTCCCATGCATGATGTTCTTGATTTAATCCCACAACTCTTCTGGTCTTCGGTCTTTAGTGTTTAATGTATCAAATCTGTGCTTCAGATGATCTCTAAATTCAGGTGGGATGTATTCAAGGTCATATTTTGGCTTTTGTGGACTTGTTTACATTTTCCTCAGCTTCAGCTTGAATTTGCATACGAGTAATTGATGATCTGCTCCACAGTCTGCCCCTGGCCTGGTTTTAACTGATAATATGGAGCTTTTCCATTGTCTCTTTCCACAGATATAGTCAATTTGATTTCTATGTATTCCGTCTGGTGAGGTCCATGTGTATAGGCATCTCTTATCCTGTCTAAAAAAGGTATTTGAAATGAACAAATCATTGGTTTTGCAGAATTCTATCATGTGTTTTCCAGCATCATTTCTATCACCAAGGCCATATTTTCCAACTACTGTTTCTTTCTCTTTGCTCCCAACCTTTGCATTCCAATTACTAGTCATGATCAATACATCTTGATTGCATGTTTGATCAAGTTCAGATTGGAGAAGTTGGTAGAATTCTTCTATTTCATCCTCACTGCTTTAGTGGTTGTTGCATAAATTTGAATAATAATAGTATTAACTGGGGTTCCCTGTAGTTACGTGGATACTATCCTATCAAAGACAGCATTTGTACCTCATGACTGATCTGGATATGTTCTTTTTGATGATGAATGAAGAAACACCATTCAATTTGTCATTTCCGACATAGTAAACTATGTGGTTGTTAGATTAAAAATGGCCAATACCAGTCCATTTCCACTCATTAATGCCTAAGGTATCAATGTTTATGCGTTCTATTTCATTTTTGACACCTTCCAATTTTCCCAGATTCATACTTTGTACATTCCATGTTCTGATTTTCAATGGATGTTTACAGCTGTTTCTCTTCATTTTGAGTTGTGGCCCATCAGCAAATGAAGATTCTGTAGGCTTTTCTCCCACAAGCTTTACTTTATTTGCATTATCACAGTCAACTCTACTTTGAGGAGGCAGCTATTTCCCAGTCACATTTTGAGTGACTTCCAACCTGAGGGGCTCATTTTCCGGCACTATAAATATAGTGTTTCTCTGCTATTCATAAGTTTTTCAGTGACTGAAGATTAGGACATAGTTCGTCACTCCTTCTTCCTAATCTCTCTTTGTCTGGAAGCACATCTGAAGCCTGTACACCATGGGTAACCCTGCTGGTATTTAAAATACTGGTAGCATAGCTTTCAGAATCACAGCAACTCACAAGTACGGCAAACTGATTGACAAGTGGTGGTTCTGCTCCTGAGAAGATATAAAAGGCCTCAGAAACTAACTCTATACAGTGTTGCTATGAGTTGTATCTGATTCAATGCCACTTAAAAGAACAACAATGTTCTGTTGCTATTGCTAAGTGTTGTCAAGTTGGTGCCAACCCATAGCTACCCTCTATAGAGTTTCCTAGGAGCAGTTAGTGAGTCTGAGCTGCCGACCTTGTAGTTCAAACCAACTTTGTAGTCCAGCACATTAACTCACAGTGCCACACCAGGATTTCAACAATGTTCTAGGGACAATCATATCCTGCAAGTTTCAGACCAAATAGTTCCTGAACAGTTACTATGTGACAACCCTTCTTGCTCTGCAAGCTTAAGAGACCAAAATGGTCCCAAGGAAAGCATAAACAAAGTGGAAACCATTGCAGTACCATAATACAAAGTATTGTAAAAGTCACAAACAGAATTTGGAATAATATTCTCTATGGTACTCATTATGTACTTTCAGAATACAGAAATTAAACCAGGGTGTTTGTGTATGAGCACAAAAGCAGGAAAACTGGACATAAGCATTCACCTTATAGTGATGCTTAGGATGGCACTGGGATGATCAGGGGTGGAAGATGGGGTTCAATAGTTATCTAGTCCCTCCTACCTTCTATCTATCTCTCCTCTAGGCACTGAGATCCCTGAAACCAGAGGCAGGATTAAGAGTCCTGTAACAATGCACAAGAAAAGGATAAAATCAGAAAAGGAACTCCATTACTGTGTTTTACAGTGTTGTAGTTATTTTGCCCACTTGCTATTCTCTAATTCTCCAAATAACAAAGAAAGAAGTTCATCATTGCTTATCAACATGGATTCTATCACCCCAGTGGCTAATATCTTCAAATGTCTTCCTCCTTTAAAAAAAACATAAAATAAACCTTTTGTCATATCAAGGAGAGCTTGATATAAACGGGCACAAGTCTGACTTGCCAGTCTTCAAAACTTTTCTTGTTGTTGTTTGGTTCCATTGAGTTGGTACCACATCATAGCGACCTTATGCACAACAAAATGAAACACTGCCCAATCATGCTCCAACCTTACAATTGTTTCTACATTTGAGTTCATTTATGCTGCCATTGTGCCAGTCCATCTCGTTGGAGGTCTTTCTCTTTTTCTCTGACCCTCCACTTTACTAAATATGATATCCTTCTCCAGTGACTGGTCTCTCCTGACAATATAGCTGACGTATGAAAGACCAAGTGTAGCAATCCTGGCCTCCACGGAGCCCTCTGGCTGTACTTATTCCAACACAGATCTGTTTGTTCTTTTGGCATCCCATGGAGCTTTCAGTATTCTTCTCCAATACCAGAACTCAAATGCATCAATTTTTCTATGGTCTTCCTTATTCACTGGACAACTTTCACATGAATATGAAGTTATTGAAAGCACCATGGCTTGTGTCAGGTGCACCTGAGTCCTCAAACTGACTTCTTTGCTCTTCAACATTTTAAAGAAGTCTTATGCAGCAGATACATTTGCTCAGTGCAATACATCTCAACTCTTACTATCAATAAATTCTGATCATTCTGAAAAGCTTCCCATTTCCCAGAGTGTTCATACTTCCTTAAGTCCTCACACTTATTAAAAAAAAAAAAAAAATTGTTCTGTCTTCTTAAAATGTTCTCTACTTTCTTTCTTGAATTCCTACCATCATTGTATATTTGGTCCAGCTGTCACCTTTTGAATGACTCCTGACACTGTCAGCTCTCAATAACTAACTGAGATTTTGGCACAAAGAAAACCAGTCCC